TATCTCTCACCATGCACTAAACTAAAATCAAAATGGATTAAAGATCTAAATATTAAAACAGAAACACTAAAACAGCTGGAAGAGAGTTTAGGAAGAACTCTTGAAGACATTGGTGTAGGAAAAGATTTTATGAACAAAATCTCAGTTCCCTGTGAACTAGCACAAACAATCAACAAGTGGGATCTCTTCTTATCAAAAAGCTTCTGCACAGCAAGAGAAACCACCAACAGTGGGAAGAGATAACCCACAATGTGGGAAAAAATTTTCACCAGCTGTCCCTCAGACAAAGGTCTACTATCTCAAATCTATAAAGAACTTAAAAAAAAATCAGACATCCCAAATTTAAAGACTCAATCAAAAATTGGCATCTGAAATGAACAGATATTTCTCAGACAAAGAAATGGAAATAGCAAATAAACATAAGTAACAATGTTCAACATCATTGTTCATTTGAAAGATGGAACTGAAAACAACACTGAGATTCCACCTTACCCCACAAAGAACGGCTGTCATCATAAAAGCATCGAATAACAAATGCTGGTGGGGCTGTGGGGAAAGAGGACCCCTACTCCACTGCTAGTGGGAGTGTAGACTGGTGCAACCACTGTGGAAATCAGTATGGAGATACCTCAAGAACTAGGCCTAGAAGTCCCATTTGACCCCGCTATTCCCCTGCTGGGGGTCTTCCCCAAAGAATTAAAAGAATTATACCAGAGTGATATATGTGCACCCATGTTCATAGCAGCACAATTTGTGATAGCTAAATCTTGGAAACAACTGGAGACTGGATAAAGAAAATGTGGGGTTTTTTTTTTTATAAAATGGAGTATTACTCAGCCATAATGAACAAGAAACTAGAGACATTTATAGCTAAATGGATGCACATTGAGGCGATACTCTTTAGTGAAATAAATAGGACACACATGTGCAAATATTGGATAGTTTCTGTAGTGTGAGAAAATGAAACTGTACATAAGGACTAAAAGGTATAATAGATAATGTGAAAGAGGAAGAAAAGGGACAAAGGGGAAGGAGAAATGTGAAGGGTAGGGAAAAGAAAGAAGGGAATGGAATTAATATGAGAAAAACAAAAAATGGTAACAAAGTCTTTGTAGATCGGGAGGGGTGGAGTGGTTGAAGGGAGGGCAGGGGAATGGGAAAAAATGAAGAGCCAAGATGGATTATGTCAAGGTGCAAATTTCCAATGATGAATGTCATCATGCTGTATACCTTAAATGTAGCAATATAATTATTAAATAGATTCAGCCATAGAAACCCTGTTTCTTCTTCTCCTTTTTCTTCCTTCTTGCCTTCTTCTTGCCTTTCTTCTCATTCTCCTTCTTTTTTCTTTTTGAGACAGGGTCTTCTTATCTGGTCTGTGCAGGCCTGAAACTTGCAATCCTGCTTCACCCTACTGAGTGCTTGGATTTATAAGTGTGCACCACCTTAAACCACTCAAGACTATTTTCATGGTCCCTTTCACCAACTCCATTACACCTTCACATCTTAGGTAGTAGATCTCATTCATGCCATGGGTTGCAGTTTTCTCCAGGAAGCTTTCCCTAACTCTCATAACTGAATCAATTTTCCACTTTTTGCATCTGCATTATCTTGCACTGATCATACTCCATATTTCTTCCTTCCACAACCAGGCTCTAAGACTTTACTTTGTTTACTGTTATATATGTTATACTTAATACAGAGCCCTGGAATTCATTTGTTCAATGCATGTTTCTTAAATTAAATCATTCTCCCTAGTATGAAAAATAAGAACTATCCTTAATATACCAATGTATTTGAGGAAATGGAATCTAGCCTCATTATTTATAAACTGACTTTCAATTTGTAGTAATACATCACAGAAGTTGAACTGAAGTGGTTCTCTGCCTCACCTTTTCCACATCTCCCAGGCCCTCCGTGTCCAGAAGGACCAGCGTGTGGTTTGGCTTGGTGGGGTGGGGCACACACCACATCCAGATGCCCTTGGTTTTAGACTGTACTGTGGAGCCCAGAGCAAACCCTAAAGGGAAGAGGAGAAACAACAGTGACAGCACAGAGACCAAGCCAGCAGGGGTTACACTGGCTAAACTTACAAGAATGTGAGTGCTAGGGAAAGAAAGCTATTTCAGCAAGGATAGCCAGTCCAGTCTTTAGGTCTGCGTTAAGGACTTCTCAAGAAACATTTTGTGTCCTGTTCACCTGATTCTTTCTTTTACTCAAATTGTGTCACGAACTCTGTTGTGTATTTTTATTTGACCTTGAAGACCTTTCCTGTCCTCTTGATTCTAGTAGAGTTCAGCCAGTAGGAAGCAGCAACAGGAGACCATAAGGCAGGCATGTGTTCCTCTAGCTTCCACCCTGCAGGGCCACAGTGCCCAGGGGCTTGTTTCTGTTCCTCTACTTCAGGTCACAGTTCCTTTCATTATCTACATCCAATAATTCTGCTCTTTCCCACATCCTGGCATCCGTCCATTGCTTACCTCTTCAGAGGATGAGTGACAAATGGCAATACCTACTTGGCCATCACTATTTCACTCACTGGGGGCTTTCTCACCTTTTCTCAGCTCCCTTTACCCTCCTGATGCTCTTGTAAATGGTTGCTCTATTAAATGCTATTCAGTTATACTGTGTGTACTACAGTCTGGACCTGGAATAGCTCCCAAAGGCCCATGTGTTAAAGGCTTGGTGCTATTGGAACTTTAGGAAACTATAAGAAGCAAGATGTAGTGGGAGGGCTTCAGGATACCGTGGGATCCTGGTTTCTTCCTCTTCTTTTTCTCCCTGACTTTCCATGAGGTAAGCAGTTTTCCTCTGCCATATGCTACAACAATAATATGCTGCCACATCACAAGCTCAAAAGCACAAGGTCCAGTCAAGCGTGGACTGAAATCTTTAAAACTGTGAGTCAAAATAAACCTTTTATCTTTATAAGGTGATTTATTTCCAGTATGTCTTAAGAGTGATGGAAAACTGACACACTGGGTCATCTGTGTCCTGTCAGGACCTGCACTGATACATTAGCTTTTGTTGGGTTTAATCTGCCCCTTTCTCTTTATTTTACTCTTTTGCTTTCTTCTATCCAAGCAAATGATTAGCTCTGTGTCTATTGCCTTATCAGGGGGATAGAAGTGAAGGAAAAGCAAGACCTATGACACCTGTAAGCCTTTCTTTCCACAGGCTTAAGCCCACAGTGGAAAGGATCTGAGGATTGCTCCCAGGAACACATGGATGGTTGTAACTTGGGCAAGAGGCAAAGTTTTGAACATCTGCCATAGAGCAATGCTTCCTTCCTTCAATTGAGAGTAGAGATCAGTACGATAAAGTTCCTGGAGGACTGCTTCCCCATGACTTAGACCATTCAATTTTACACCCTGTGTGATTTTTGTAGAGAGGGTATCAAATCTGCACTTCCCGACATTGTGATAGTATCAGATTGCTTGCTGTTTAACGTTGAGTTTGCCTAACTCTCAGTGCTCTTTGCTATAAAATGGTAAGGTTTGATGGCAGATGGTCACTCTCAGTAATCTGAGAGGTAATAAAGTGAAGTGAGTTAGCCACAAAAAGAGTGAAGCGCTTGTTCCTGCTCATGGACTTTGACTTGGAGTGAGTCTCTTTCTTTCTGCTCTTCCTATGACACAGGAGGATACCAGAGTCACTATTCAGATGTTTGAAGTATTTTGGGATGACAGCCTCCCATAGCCAAGCACTGGGAAATTACCTCCTTGTTCCTTAATTTTACTTTGAGTAGGAAAAATTTTTTTCCATGCTCTTGAAACTTCCTTTCTAATATGTCTATCTGAGGGTTCTCAACTCTAATTACTTAAAAATGAGCTTTGAATTTATTTGATCTAGGAAAGGAAAAATGTCTTCCCCTAATTGATGGTTAAAAATTGGGATTTAGCTCAGTGGTTCTGCTGCCTGCCTTGCAAGTGCAAGGTCCTGAGTTTGATCCATGGTACAAAAAAAAAAAAAAAAATATATATATATATATATATATATATATGCTAAAAGAAAGATACAGGCAAAATGCTTTGTTTAGGAATCAGTGAAGAATGGAAAGTAAAAAGGAAAGAGGAAAAACAGAAGGAAATGGAGAAAGACATAAAAAACGGGGACAAGAGGAAGAGAGTGATACAGTAAGCAAGGGACTCGGGAGATAAGTCCCAGGGATCTTCAGCTTAGTAGACTGAGTTTCAACTCCCAATGGTGCTGAGATGCTGAGCCAGACAGAAAGTAAGATATGAAAGGGGAAACGGCTGCATAGTCTTTAATGACTGAATCATCAAACATCCTCCTAAAACTAGCAGCAAAAAGAAAGCTTGCCTTACATTATTAAATTTTTATAGAATTTGTGGAATCCTCAATTACTGATACAGTATGATGTACAGTAAATTGCACATAAAGTTTGGCTAGCTGTTTAATATTATTCAGCCTTCAGAAAGGATGGAGATTACCTATTCTCTGATCCAGAAATCCCATTTCTGGATTTCTGGATATATTTGTGCAAGAGAAGTTTTTGAACATGTGCATCAGAACATAAATGTAAGAATATTCATGACAACCTATTCATTAAAGATAAAAACTAGAAATAGCACCAACATTCATCAATAACATATTTATCAATAACTAGTAAATTGTGCTATCCTTAGAAAAGAGCATACTATGAAATAGTGAAAAATTTAAAAATTACAGATACATGAGACTAGACAAAAATTATAAATTTCTTGTCAAACAAAAGAAGTAAAACACTCCAAAATACACACAAAAAATAAAATTTAAAAAGCCGAATTAAGTTGTTTTTTGAATGGATAATAGACTATAGAACCATTTTTAAAATGGATTTTTTAAAAAGCAAGAGTAGAAGAAGTATGCTCTAATAGCCAAAATATTGACAAGCTTTAGTGAGTGTGTGAGAGGGTATGATTTGGGATTTTGGGTGTTGGAAAGGTTTATTTCTTGATTTGGATAGTGACTGTACAAATATTTACTTTATTAACTGTATTGCAAGGGTTGTTTCAAGTTATGAATGTGATGGTAGGAATTAGAAATTTTCTTCAGTGGGAAGGTGAACCCTTCCTTAAGATGACCCTAGAGAAGGTGTGGTCAGTTTGTCCTATCTTTGGTTCCAAGTGAATGGCCCCTGGCCAAGGATCACACTCACCATGTTTCTGTCCTGCCAGACGATTCATGAGGTAGGATTTTCCAGTACGATATATGCCTACAATGGCCACCACCACCACCGGTTGAGATATCTTGTCAAGAATCCTTAAGGCTTTGGAATTCACAGTCAGCTGCTCTTTCTTGTTTTCCACTAGGCAAATGGGAGCCTCCATGATAGATTTTGTTGCCGTGGTAACCTGCAACCCAGAAAAACTCTGCTTTGGAGCAGAAGATCTTGCGGTCATCTCTGATGGTTATTCAAGGCACACGCATATCAATTTTTTGCTCCTAGAATGTGTTTATCAATTTTCTACATTTTGTATGTTTCTAAAGAAAAAAATAGTCTAGCATGTCCAGGCCTGGTACTGAATGCCTTTTGTTCATTATCTTATGATTCTTATAGCTATTAAAAAAGCACTACCCAGACTTTTTAAGAATTGAATGAGAAAAGGAAAGCACTGACACAGAGCTCTGAAAACGCTAACATTTGGGGGGCAGAGGCAGAATGCGACATGACAGAGATGAAGAATGGTTAGGAAAGGTTCTAAGCATCCTAGAAGAATTTTGTCTCTTATCCTTGCAGTGAGGATGTATACAGTATCTGGAGGGGCATCCAATGTTCTAGGTGTATATCATCAAGGAGTGAACAAAATGGTTACGCATTTCTGCCTTACAGATACTGTTCTAGTGAAGCAAACAGACAATGAAAGCAGATAAACAAACCGTATACTACACACACACACACACACACACACACACACACACGCGCGCGCGCGCGCTCCTGTAATATGTACTTATCTCATACACACACATGCACAGTGAACAGTAAAGGTAAGTTGTCAAAGGAAAATAAACAGGAACTGAGGACAGGGACATTAGAAGCTGGGTTTACGTTTAGGATAATCAGGGAAAGCCTCCGTGAGAATGAAACAAAATAAAAAACCTCACTGATATTGATGAGGACAGATTCAGGGAATCAGCCAGCAAATCACTGAGCACAGGAAGAGGGGAGCGGGAAGAAGTGACTTCGGAAAAGCGCCTCCACAAGTGGGCCGGGGTATGGTCCCCGGATAGGGCTAGGGCTTCCTCCTCTTGAACCCATGATGAATGTGGGATGCGCTCCTTCCGGGCCCCAGGCAGCTCTTCGCTGCAGCGCAGCGCAGCGCACTCTGAGGAGGAGCAGCGCACTGTGGAGGACGCGGGGCGCCGCTGTCCCTCTGCAGCAGCCTCTGGACGGACGGCGCTCTGGGGATCACACACCATCGGGCAAGCTAGGGTGACCTCCCACGGTCCTCACCAGCCGCCCGCGCCAGCCTGCAACCCCACGGGTAGTTTGCGTTGTGGATGGCACAGGGCAGGCGCAAACTCACCTGGCGCCGGAGCTGCAGCGAGGGACGAGTTCTCAGCCGCGGAAACCACTGTTCTGAAAACAACCCGGATATCACAGCCATCCAAGTATGGCTTGAGATAAAACCGAAATCGAAACTACATTACGTTTTGACTCACTGTTGCGGTTTTTGCAGTTTCCAAGTAAGCAGAAAAGCAAGAGATTGTGAGATGAGGCGGGAGGAACGTCCTAATCTTTCTAACCGAATTTCTGAATTTGCCGTGATTCCTCCCCCTTCAGATTGGCGTCTGCAGCTTCTCGGTACAGCCCTCTCCCCCCGAAATCAGGTCTTCAGCCTTGTCCCACAGCGCTGCTGGGACTTCACGCATTCGAAACCAGGCCCATGGACTTTCTAAGGAGCCGAGGAACAAAGCCACTTTGTCCGGACACAGTGGGGAGGATTCCGGCCCGAGGCAGCTGGCTGGGCCGCCTGGAGGCCGGCTTGAGCACTTTGGGGTTGGCGAAGGCAGGAGCGAGACCACTGTTTTCAGAGCACCCTCAGCGAGCTCCCCTTTCGCACATTTGTCAGGCACTCCCCTTTTTAAATCCAAGAACCTTTAACCTTGGGACCTGATACAGGTTTCAGTGTTGGCATGTGCCACCTCATGCCCTCTTCAGTCCCATTTAAAAGGGGAATAAGTTATTTTGGAACAATACTTTTCTTTCCTTGAAAGCCAAAGTCCTCTCAAAATCCAAGCTGACAGACTTGCTATCTGAAGGGGGAAGAGAGGGTTTGACCATACGCCACATCAGGGGAGAAAGCAGGATTTCGCACTAGACGTCAGCATCCCCCTGCCTGTCCTTGGTGCTTTCGAGCAGTGAACACTGTAATAGAACCAACTTCTCATCTCTTTCAGTGCTGCCTCTTGGAGGCAGAGACTCACCGCACTCCCCATTCAGAAAGAACACTGGGGCGAAACCATCACCTGACACCAGGCTTCCGGTCCCGGCAGTGGCTAATGCCTCTAAGGTCCGCAGCCCCACCCCACCACTTCTTGTGTTTCCTGTATCTACGGGGAAGAAACCTGCAGCTGTGGGCTGTCGCGAACCTGTTGTGAGTGAGGAGTGAATGCTGAATCCTCCAGCCCTGGGTATCTCAGCCTTTTTGCAACTATTGTTATTTTTACTTTTCAATCTTCCGCTTCTTCTTTCAGCTCTCTATTCCGTTCCTTCAGCCAAAGTCCTCATTGTCTCAAGGCTGAGAATTGTAGAGAAAGTTCAAGGAAGGCATTTCAAAAATGGGACACTCCACCTGCATAGAATTAGATTAAACCAAAATAATCGAATTTAACTTTTTGGGGGAACAACTTTTCTACCACAGGAGGCAACAAAGGCTGAAGAACTAACTTTGTTTAAATTATAAAGAAGTTCTGTGTGATGAAACTTCAGTATCATAGTATATTTTTATACACATGCTCACCAAGATGGGGACTTGGACACTCTGTCTCAGTCCCTGGAGTTGGGATCTGTGTACACTAGTACTGAACTTTGGATTTGGAGAATACCTTGTTTTCCTTAGACATTCCCACCTAACTAGGAGATTGAAAAATAAAAATAATAAGAGTTGCAAAAAAGGTGAAGATAGCCAGGACTGGAGGATTCATTATTCACTCCTTTACGTAGGTATGGTTAAAAAATGCTTCTTGGAGTTTCTTTTTAAATTAAGTGTGTTTCTTGTATGCAGCATATTGTTG